GATCGATAGGCCTGAAGGACCAGTAGACTGGACTTGTTCACGACACCACATATCTCGTATGACTTTACTGACGGCGAGAACTATATACATACAGAATAATTTGAACCGCTTTTGATATAGAAGTCGCCAAAATTGGGGTGTTCACCAAAGGCAACCATATAGATGATTTTATTCTGCCCAAAGTAGCTCGAAAGCCAATTCTACCTCACCTCTGGGAAATTCCCATGGTCGCAAGATCTTCTCTTTATTTGGATCTGAGAAATGCCCAAAAAGACCGTGTTTCTTCTACGTGTCATTGCCGGGCGGTACATCCCTAAAAATCCGGGCCCTCAAATCTCAAGGGTGGAACCGGGTCCGTTGTTCCCCTTGCGTTTCGTTAAAAGGGCCAACCCCTTTGGCCAAGGTGGAGAAGGCCCGGACTCGGTTTGCATATCCGAAGTCCCAGCTTTAGAACACCGACCCTAAGACCCTAAACCCTAAACCCAGAATCATTGGACCCTCCGAACTGGAGGGTTTTGACCCTGCGACATTCGCAGGGGTTTGGACCCGAACCAAACCTAACCACCGGCTGAGGGTCCTTGATTCTTCGGGGAGCACAGGAATTACGGCTTTGTACGCACGACCGGGAACGACCGGCAAAGGATCGCGACCGACCGGCACAAGGGCTTCGTAAAGATGGACGACGCGACCTTGGTCGGGCGTCGGGCCATGGTGCATGCGTGCCATGACCCATCCCCACACCTCTCAGCAGGTCTGAACGTCTTCTCTCTTTTGCTCTGAAGATCGGTTCAGTCGCAGGGTGCTGCGGCCCTTTTCGCATCACATCTCAAGGCCGATCCGTAGCGGAGCACCCTCGGGTCCCGAGTTTGGGTTGAGGAAGCAGCCGAGAGAACTGCATGTAGCCCCCGGTTGGTTGGGTAGGCCTCACACGCTTCACCGGTAAGACTTCAAACACATCTGAAGGAGCTGAGGCGAGCCCGAAACGAGTTCGGCCCCGAAATCCAACTGCTACAGCGAACTGGTTCGGTCCATTTCACCCGTTGGTCCAACAGTCCAACACCCGGCAGCGGTCCGGGACAGACCACGTCCCAGGAGAAGGAACGGCAGCAAGCACCCAAGGACGATCGAGGCGGGTCGGGCGGGTCGGGCGGGCTGCAGCCGGAGGTTCCACGGGCGATGTGTCGCAGCGTCCGGGGCCGGGGGTGGCGTGTTGGTCACGTGAGGTGTAGAAAAAAAACCGACACCTCTTTTTGGAGCTACAAAGCAATGTAGCACAGATTGCGCAGTTGATGTTTCGCATTGGCGGCGGTATTTCTAGGATTCGGGGTGGATCTTGGCAGCTGGCCGGGCCGCTTCTTTCGATTGGGGATCTTCAAGGAGTCTGGATGTTTAATCTTGTTCCCTAAGAATCAAGGACCCCAAAGGTGAAAGTTTGGTTGCAAACCGCTGCTGACCCCTCCCATACAGGGTCTTCATCCCATGTTTTTCTTTGCGGCGGAAGACCGACCCTTCGGTTCTTCGAACCGAAACCGTTCGCACCGGTTCTTCGCAGAACAAACCAACTGCGCGCATCCACGGAGAGTTCGGTGAACTGAACGCGCCGTGGAAGTCGCGGGGGCTTGGGTGTTCGGTCGAAAAGGAAAAAACCCCATGGCTGGGGGGTGACCTTGCGGCCTGTGGGTTGCTGTAGATGGTGGTTTGAAGGTCCGACCAGACTTTTCTACTTGGCCAATTCCGGAAGTGAAGTCTCTAGGAACTGCGTCACCAGGTAGGCGATGCAAAGGGTGGTGCACAAGAAACCAAAGTTGACCTGCGTCGAAGGAGAGGGAGATGTTTTTTGAGAAACTGCTTGTGAATCGCATCCTGTGAATAGCTCCCGCTGCAAGAAGTCTGATGTTCGTTGCCCCTTTTTTTTGCATCGTTTTCTGGGACATATTAGATGATCTCCACTCATAATCACTTCATGCTCCTACTCCGAGTGTTTGTTCCCAAGGATCATCAAAGATCATTCAATAATCCCTAGGGATCCAAGTACCTTGTCAGAAGGTGATTGGAAACTGTTTATGTAGGTTTGGAGGGTCCAAGTACCTTCTGAGGACGTACTTGGATCCCTAGGGTCTTACTAGACATGTATCGGAAATTCATGGAAATCACAGCTTCTTTCCTCTAAGTTGGATCGCGGATTTGGGGCGGGGTTCTACCAGAATCTCCTCCTTTTTAGCCAACAAAAGAGGTGCACTTTGGCCCAAAGAGATTATATCCTACAAGGTTTAAAGCATTGAAATTCATTGAAAATAGGTGAACCCCAAGCCAGATCTCTTTTCTAAGGACAAATCGACTAAAAGCTATTGGGCCAGGGGTGTTTCCCAAATCCCATACACACCTTGTCACAATAGAAATGTATCACCTTGTATTCAATGCACACCCTCTTAGACACCCCCCCCAACCCAAAAGAAACGCCTCCAAACGCGTCAACACCGTCTTTCGACCACCGCGGATGGTCACTCCGCCTTCTCATCACCGCCGAACTCACTCTGGGATCCCGCGGGAGGCTTGACGGTCGCCCAGCTGGTGCGGAATTTCGGGAAAGGCTTTCAGAAAGAGGAGGCCCAGGGAGAGATGGATGTGGTCTAGAACTTGATCTGCACTAGTCCCATGGGTGGTGGAATCCATATCAGCACCTTCCAAGAGGGTGTCTAGAAAGATCCGGGATCTTCCAACTGCGCAAGAGTTTCTGCCGAACTTCAGCTGTAAAGCCAGCCATAGTTGGACATGTTGCATAGTTGGAAGATCCAGGTACAGCCTCTGAGCATCTCTTAGAAACTGATTCGTGTGTGTCCCGAGTGAACGAGGGTTGGATCTATATAGAGACTTCCATAGTTCTGAAGAGTCCTGCACAGACTGGCCCCCTGCCCATCAAACACACCACCCGGGGGGGTCCGTCATGCTGAGACACACCCTGACCGGTCGGAACTGCAGCCTGGCACCACCCCTCACACTGAGGACCCAATCGACCCCGTGGTGGAAACCGAGTCATGGAACCTTTTGGTGTCGAAACCGCTCGGTTTCCACCAGGAGTTCCTGCGTCCATGACGAAAAACCTCGACTCTCCGATGCCCTGGGAGTCCAGTCGACTATCAAAAGAATGGTCTGACGAACGGGGACCTGATGATTTCGGGAGCTTCCTGAAACCTTCAGCCGGTCCAAACTATCGTCGATTCCTGGACTTCGTTTCGGGGATGTGAACATGGTGGAAACCGACGGCCTGTCCAATTGAGTTTGACACGATCGATCCGCAAGACCACTGACTGGCTCATTGTTTGACATGGAGTTCCCCCCCGTTCTTCCGAGTCAAGTCTGTCTTTGGGGGCCATGAAAGTCAGGGAGAAGGCGGACCCGTCCGGACACCGTCGAGTCGACCCTCGACGCGGATGGAGAGGGTCCATGGCCAAGCCCCAAACTCCGGATCTGGTGGGGACGATTTTTGGGACTCCCAGAAAATGGAGTGGCATATGCCATATGGGACATACATGCCATAAAAATGGAGCGTCCGGATCTGGTGGTTTTTTTCGGACTGCCATATCCCAGACATGACTAATGGGACTGCCAGTTCGGACTGCCGATCACTTGGGGTGGTTGACTGGTGGTTGACTGCAGTCCCATGGAGTGTATAGGTATTAGGGGGACGGTTTTTAAAGTATGTGAATCCTTGGACCCGACTTCTACACAGGGGTCCCGAACCTTCCATAGCCCTTTTGCAGAATCCGCTTCCCTTTGAGGGTAGGAATGCAAACCAGATGGATGGTGGTTTTGAGGAGGCGCATGATGTTGTCCATGTCAGCCCCCAACCTTGGGAACCAACGACGGTCTTATGTGGCATAAGCATCTACCCTAGAAGTCCAAAGACTATATTTTGACCGGCTGAAGTAAAGGAAGTTCCCTTTCAGGTCCCCTAAAGACCATTCTTTTTATAGTCTTTGACTCCCAAGGTCTATAGTTCCAGTCCACTTTGTGGTTCCACGGTTTGTTGGGATGATTATGATTGTCCACACCAGGGACCCCCGTTTGGGGTGTCTAATCAAAGCCCCTTAGAGGTGAAGGGGTGTCCATCAACCACCCCAAACACTGGGCCCTGGTATACATAAAGTCTCCGAATTGGTTTAAGGACTTTAAAGGGAAACATCTACAGGAAACCCATGGTTTTCGTGGTGAACACCCTGGTTTCCTGTAGATGTTCTCTTGAAACATTCTGGGTCGACCCGGATCCGCGCCCATTCACATACCAGAAGCCGTACCCCTGCATGAATATTCAATGATTTCACGGCGGACAGGAACATGTTGGAAGTATCGGGTGTATCATGGTGTATCCCAATGTATCCCACTAAGTAGTCGGTAAAACAATACACATATCATCAAATATCTCGACTCTTCTTGGAGAAAAGCCTTTTCCCAACCTCACCAGAACCACCAAGAGAGGTTAAGTTAAGTGACCGTAAATAGGACCGTCACTTACTGGGGTCACCCAACTGGGATAGGCTAAGCGAAACCCAGGGTCCTGACCCACCCACCTCTGTTGGATACCCATCATCCACTGAATCGGACACCAGGGTCTCTTTCTTCCGACCGATGCCGACCGAAACGCTCTGTGGATCCGAAAGGGCGGTGCTCGCCGTCGCTGCGCAGGCCGCGACGGCGCCCGGGCAGTCCTTAGCCACCATGATCATTGAGGCCGAGGGACGGGTGTGGGGGTGTGAGGGGACGGGTGAACGCCATGATGGGCCACCATGAGGCATGAGGACTAAGTGACTAGCTCACAAGGACTAAGGACTGGTGTGGGGTATAGCTGGTGGCAGGGTGGTTGATAGATTGGCTGAGAAGAATGAAACACCGATATCTACCAAGACCCGCCAGGTCACACAGCTCGAGCTACTTTTTGGGGGCCCAAGAAGCCTCAACGAACGGCCTGTTGGAAGGTACTGGTATACCTGCATCTTCCAAATTATGCAAACAGTTTGCCTTTTGGGAGGAATTATCATAGATGAAAAGGCATAAATGTTGCACAGTTGGAAGATCCAGGTATATCGGTATATCGTTAATTTTTATTGTAAAAAACCTTTCATCGTAGCCATGTTGGCTAAGCTTTGGCTTGGGAAGATTGAACAACACCTGCTTCTTTTCAGCTCGAACGTCTCTAGGATTCGATAAACTATTGTTTTAATCAATTACCAAAAGAACCACTCACTATTTTACTAAGGATTTTTACACTACGCCATCAAGTCAACCATTCTTTTAATTGTTTTTGAAGGCATCCGGGGCATCCGTTCAGAGTCTTAAGCTCATCAATGAGATGCGGAACAAGATGGTTGAATTGAAGTCGTTAAGACCTACGTCTACACGAAACCATGGTCTTTGGGTCTGATGATTTGCTTGTTGCAGCTCACTTTGAAACCTTTCTGGCCCAAAAAACGCAAACAGGCTCAAGGCTGATCCCGAAGCAATGTACCAAAACTTAGTCAAGGAGAGTGAGACTGACACGAAACTCTGACTGATGGTCGACTCCCTCTAGGACAAGGTCTCCAGCGGTTCCGTGGCTAGAGTCTCGTTCTTGTCTTCGGATGATGCTCAGCACAAACACCAAATCCACTCCTCGGTCCGTTCATCAGGCCGAATCAGTCCGGTCGGAGGTCTGTTTGGTTCCTCACTGGGAGTGACCTGGTCCCTTATAGGAACCTGTAGGGAGTTGGCCAGTTTTGTTGGCCGATGGCCCTGTTCGTCGTCATTTTACTCAAGTTGGGTCCTATAAGTTTGCACTACTCTCACTGAGATAGTAAAGGACCAGCTGTGGACCTGGGTTTGACTGGACCTGTATAGGGAACCTCACCTTATATTATGGCAGTCCCATTAGTCGTGTCTGGGATAGCACCTTAGAGAACCATGGACGAATTTCGAAGATCTTCTGTTGCAGAACACGACAGATCAGTGTACAGCCAATAGCTACGTTCGACCTCGAAGTTCCCCAAGCGCTCGGCGCTCGGACATGATCTCGTGACAGGCACCGTACCGTCGTTGGTCTCGGGTCGCGACGAGTCCGCCCATCACCGCGACCGCTGTCTGGCTTTGGTGAGACGAAAGAGAGACCAAGCACAACTCCTTTCAGCGAATGCCACCGATAGGTCTCTGGGAGCCAAGTCTGGTGATCCATCCATGGCCGGGATCTGCAGCCATTCCGGGGTTGGCAGCAGTGGGAAAGGGTGAGACCGAAGTGACCTGAGATGGTTCAGGCCAACAAATCATGGAACAGCTGGCGACCAAAAAGCTTGGGAATTTCTGGTCGCACAGTTGGAATTCCTCCTCTCGAACATTCTTTGATGTCTTTCCACAGTTGTTTTGACGTTGAGAGAGAATGTAGAACCCACATGCACGAATGCAAGACACCCAGGAGTCGCCACACTGCATGCATCAAAGCCTCAAACCACGGATGTGCAACCCAGCTTGCACTGCAAGCACGTCTCCAAAAGACATGCCCTCCAGCTTCACCCAACCACCGTGCTGGCAAGACCACCCACACCGCCCCGGCACAACGCCCGGCGCGGAACACCTCGGTTTCCGCCATGCCAAGCTTCAGCGCCACGCTGGAGGATGACATCAAGGCGAGGACTGAGCTCGCGCGGAGCGTGGGAGTACCCTGAAGATCCGAGCCTCAATGAAGTTCTGACCAGATGAACTGCCAGAGTCGAAGGCCTGCAGAAGGCCCTGCTTAGGCCCATCACTCTCTTAGTGTTCGGACTGAACAGCGACTGGCCAGCTTCCTACGACAGTGGCAGTTTCTTTTTCAGGCAGTGCTGATGGATCAGGAGATGCTGGCAGAGAAGGTTCAGGAGAACCATGCAGACAGGGCCTGGGCTGATTTTGTTGAGTGGAATAAAGGAACATGGAAAAAAAGTGGACCAACCCCCTGGAAATCGCGCAGGGTGTTTTGACCCTCCAGAAATGGTCAGGTCTGATTCTGAAAGGGTCCATGTTCACGTACGGACCCTCCAACCGTCTCGACCAGGAGCTGGGTGAGCAGATCTCCAAAGACTACGACGGCAAGGCGCTCCGGGCGGCGCCCGCCGTTGGGAACATCGAAGAAGAGCGGCCATGGTTGGGTTGGACGGACGCTGACGGATTGGGTTCGGCGACTTTTCGTAGGTTTGGTCCCGTTCTTTCTTCGGTTTTGGACGTCTTGGGTTCAAGCTTGATGTATCAACAACGTTCTGCATGCTCAGATCAGATCTTTGATGTGTTTGATGGGTTTCTAGCATGTTTCCCTCCTGATGAAAGAGGTTCTAGCTTGTTGACGCTTTCCGTTTTCCCAAACACATCAAACAGGTATAGAACTGTAGATCGCCTCTTCAATGCGAGACTGCCCTCCCTCGACTCCTGTCGCGTCGTGGTTTTTGTGGCTGAAGGGCTGGGGTTCATGGTCGAATACCTGTCTTAGGGTAATCAGTTCACCCCATCCATCCACCATCCGCTTGCTGTTCATAGTAAACCCCAGAACGCCTCCCGAGACGAGCCCCATCACCGAACAGGAATGTACTTGTGGGAGTTGCCTCAGATAATTGACCCCTTTCCAAAGTTGAGACCCCCAACATTCCAGGTCACTCTTGACCCTGTGGGTCAATGTACCACAACGCCAGCGTTCAGCATGTCTTCCGGCGTTCACCATTTTCTTGAAATTCCTCCAACTGAATTAGGAAGCCAGATGACCAGATGCATCAATCGGCCGATGTCCTCCGTCTTCGGCCCACGCGAGTCGACGGGTTGACGCGGACTTCCCTCCCAAACCCATCGGAAGCCGCGAACGCGACCCCCGCAACTGCGGACGGCGAACGGGAGCAGGTGCCTTTGCTGGTCGGAGTGCTCAACGGTGCCATGGTCTTTATGGCAGTACCTCGGTGACCCTATGGATGTGTCGGAAAAGCGCCCAACACAGGGGCATTCGGCAGGGTTGGTGGTAGAACTTGATGGGTTGTTGCAAAGCTGTTGCAGCGTGTTGCGGAAGCAAAAATTCGTGATTGTGGAAAGAAAGGCCAACTCTAAGGCGGTTTTCTTGGGTTTCATCTACAGGGGGGTGGATAGGATATGGATAGGTCACATATTTTGGAAGGGACCCTCCCACAGGTCTCTTAAAGAGGGTAGTGGTCGGCCCTGTTGGAGGTCTCAATTGGTGAGTCAAGTCGGGTGCTGCTAGTTGCTTCACCTGAAAAACCGCCAAGGACTTGCTCCGCGCGATCAATATCCCAGTGGAGATTGACTCCATTTCAGCCTCCTGGTCGGAGTTTAACAACTTGGATTGGACCAAGTCTATCCCAGACACTCCATGTATGTCATATTTGCATACATTCTTTTCAGGGGCCAATGTAGGTATGGGTATGGTGTGGGTCAGCAGGGGTAAGATGGCTTTCGAAAAACTATCTCCCATGACCATCCCCAGCTCAACAGGTTTCCTTTGGAAGTCCGTTCGACATCGTTCGACCATTTGTTGTTGATTTGGTTCTGTAGTCTACAGGTCCTTTAATTTGTGAAACCATGGTTGTTCGGGATGACCCGGCTATTAAATCAATGGTGGTAGGAAGCCTAGGGTTCCTATAACCAGACTCAGTCCCAACAATAATTGATGGAAGTCCCCAATCCCAGCCACATCCTATAAAAAGGATCTCAAGCTGGCGCCAGATTGGGTTCCAACCATGTGTTTCTGGTTGGGACTGGGGCTTTAGGTAGAAGTCCAGTCCTGACGAAGCGCCAGTCAGTGTGAGCTGGATCATCTTATCCCACAGGTCAGTTGGACCTCATGAAACGCTGGAGTTGGTCATACAAAACACTACTTAAGGACCTTAAGGAGGTCATCATGACCAGGTTTTACTGGATCAGACAGTCTGAGATGGACGTACGTAGGGATACATGTAGGTAAACTGAGATGAATGCACCATCATATACGTCCTCGACGCTTACATGCCGACTCTTCTCGCACATATCCTCCGCTGCGCAGGAGCGCAGCCGCATCCATACGAAGAGAAAGATTGGGGGTCAGGGGTCGATTTTGAATCATTTGGACTGGAAACAGATGGACAAAGGGAGAATCACATGACTGAAAGACTCTTGGAATATTCATGAGCGACCAAAAGAACATCCACGATCACTCAAATCATATGCATTGAAATCGAGCATGATATGACTTCCTGACATATGACATGATACCCTCGTGATCCACCAACTCCAAACGGTCTCCGGGTCTCCGCGCGTCTCTCCGGTCTCCGTCACTCCACTCCACTCCGCGTCACCGCGCGTCTTTGTCCTGGACCGGGTCAGGTGAGCTCTTACGGCAAGCGCGCCGTCTCGGGGGACCTGAAGTTCGGCAAGGACGTCACCGGCGATGTGAAGGCGACGCCCTTCACGTCGCACACGTCCCGTCCCGTCCGTCCGTTTTGGGCGCCTGCTGCGGCGGCACGGCGCGGTGGCCACGTATGGCAGCGTTTTTTGGTGGGGTGGCGACGAATCGAAGCGAACACGGGGGGGTCAAAGACCGTTTTTTTCAGAATGGTTGACCTGGGTTTATGGTGTAAAACCCTTGGTAAAACCATGGTTGTTCGGGATGGCCCGGCTAGTAAATCAATGGCGGGCCACGACTTCTAGGAAGAATACGTACACTTTGGATGTTGACCAGCCGTTTCAATGCCTTGGAA